CTGACAGCAGTGGGTGGGTGGGCCATGGCGGTGGCTATTCCAAGGGCTGATGTGTGTCCGGCATGTTGGCCGACAGATCCCGCAGTGGAGGTGGTCAGTGCCATGCAGGACCTGGCTGTGGAGGAGGGCGGCTCAGCCGAACTCCTCTGCCAGTATTCGCGGCCCGTGCAGGCCACTTGGAAGATGGACGAGCGGGAGGTGTGCGCAGATGGGCACCGTGTCATCATAGAGCAGGACTGGACCGTGGCCAGGCTGACCTTCAGGCCGGCCTTGCCCTGTGACAGCGGCATCTATTCTTGTGAGGCTGCGGGCACCCGCGTGGTGGCCCTGCTGCAAGTGCAAGGTGAGGCTGCCTGGTGGGCAGCCCCAGGCCCAGTGCAGCTCAGGCTGTGCAGTCATGGTGGAATGGCAGAGCGATAGCCAGCGCTGTGCTGCAGGTGTGAATGAGCCCTTATGAGAGACTAGCCTGCAGCCCTGGGCACTAAGTTGTGGTTGGGGCAGGACATATCTAGCTGCTGAGCTCATGGCTTCCATGAGAGATGCATGGCTAATTACCAGACTCGGGGACGTGGATACATGCGAGGGGGGAGGAGTTGAGTGGCCATGGATTATGGAAGAAGTCTCTGGTCAGAGTGAATGTGAGCAGAGCATCACAGGAACTGCAGCAGATCTGGTATTGCTGCTTGGGGAGTGCAAGGAAAGGAGGCAGCTTCCAGACCCTGACATGCAGCACAATTGCAGTGGTGCGTACAGAACACAGTTGGAGCCTGGGTTTGGGTTTGAACCTGGTTGTGTGGTGTGCAAGTTTTCAGTCTTGTGAACACTTGTGAGGCTGCTCACCTGTGAGAGTCAGGAGCCCAAGGCTGATGTGAGTGAGGTATGGGCACGGGGTGTGGGTTAGGGGGTTGGGGGTGGAAGTGCTTATGGATGACTCCAAGGTGGACGCTGAGTGTTGCCCTCCGCACGGCTCCTGGGGTGTGGGGAGTGCATTTTTTGGCCCTTTATGATTTCAGGGCTCTCCCAAGGGACAGTGGTGGGGGCCCCTAAATGGCATGCCCTAAGCCTTCCTCTATCTACAGCCAAGAACACGGTGGTGCGGAGCCTGGAGAATGTGGAGGCTCCTGAGGGTGGCGAGGCACTTTTCGAGTGCCAGCTGTCCAGGCCCGAGGTGGCTGCCCATACCTGGCTGCTGGACGACGAGCCTGTGCGCACCTCAGAGAACGCTGAGGTGGTCTACTTTGAGAACGGCCTGCGGCATTTGCTACTGCTCAAAAACCTGCGGCCACAGGACAGCTGCCGGGTGACTTTCCTGGCCGGGGATGTGGTGACTTCTGCATTCCTCACCGTCAGAGGTGAGTGACTGTGTTGTGGCGGAGGGGTTGAGATCCTTCCCACTGGAGGCTGGGCCTCTGAGCTGCAGGGAGGTGGGGAACTTTGGTTGCAGGTTGGGGAGGGCTGGGGTTGTGTCTCTAAGACCTCTCCCACCAGAGGCTCTGCCTGAGGTGAGGCATTGGTCTCTTGAGATTCTTTCCACCTGAGGGTCAGAGTCAGCTTGTGTGCGAGGGGTAGGAGCATGGGCAAGGCAGGAAGGGGTGACACAAAGTAGGGATGTGTGTCTACCCTTCCCACCAAAGGTTCTGAGGTGGGGCAGCGTCAGTATCTGAGACTCACCCTCAAGAATACTGAGCTGAAGGAAGTCTGGGTGGGACTACCCTTATGTTACCTGGAGCAGGGGTTTATTGGGGCTGTGGGGGTGGAGCTTCAGTCTTGAGGCCCCTCCCACTGGAGGTTAGCCTAAGGGGAGGTGGCATGGGTCTCCAGTTCTCCTTTTTTCCAGAACCCACTGTCTCATTCTTGGTGTTCATGCTGGCCCCTTCCTGCAGGCTGGCGCCTAGAGGTCCTAGAACCCCTTCAGGATGTGGCTGTACGAGCTGGTGCACAGGCCCACTTCAGCTGCACACTCAGTGAGGCGGTGCCCGTGGGCGAGGCGTCTTGGTACATCAATGGAGCTATAGTCCATCCTGATGATTCCGGCTGGACGGTCACTGCTGATGGCAGCCACCACACCTTGCTGCTGCGCAATGCCCAGCTGCACCATGCTGGAGAGGTTACTTTTGCTGCCCGTGATGCTGTGACCTCAGCAAGGCTCACTGTGCTGGGTGGGTAGTTGGCAGGGGTTCCTCCCCTGCAGATTGGGTCTGGAGCATGCTTCTGCCTCCGGAACACTGGAGTGGGTGACCATTCATGGCTGGGTCCTGTACAGATCTGCCCTACCAGAGTCTGGAGGTGCTTCCTTCTCCTGGGGTGGCTCTTCCCATAAGTGTGTGGGCCTTGTCATAGGAGTCCTAGAGGGTTTCCACTGACCAGGCCCTCAGACCTTTTTACCTGTGTGAAAACACCACCCTGTGGATTCCCTGAGACCAGGGCTCCTAGTGTCCCTCTCCTCTTTGCCCAGTGCAGATCTGAGCTCAGACCTAAGGGGGTGGGGAGGAAGGAATAATTCTAGCCCTAGAGACTGCAGGGGTCTGTATCATGGCCCTCTGGGCAGAGTGGGCTCTGAGAAGAAGCAGTCTTCCTGTGATGCACAGCCCCAGGGATTTCAGAGCCCTCCTTGAAACAGGTTGAGCCCCCAGGCACAGCAGCACACAGGCCTCACGCTGCACGCAGTATCAGATCCCAGTAGCTCCTGGATGGCCTGCTCGAGGGGGAGATTCGGGTGGGTGCCAAAAAAAGCTGCTGCACTGATTGGTCCTTTTTCCTTGCAGGCCTCCCTGACCCCCCAGAGGATGCTGAGGTGGTGGGTCGCAGTGGCCACTCTGTGACGCTGTCCTGGGTGGCTCCCACCAGTGATGGTGGTGGTGGTCTTTGTGGCTATCGGGTGGAGATGAAAGAGGGGACCACGGGCCAGTGGCGTCTGTGTCACGAGCTGGTGCCTGGGCCTGAGTGTGTGGTGGATGGACTGGCTCCTGGGGAGACCTATCGCTTCCGTGTGGCAGCCGGGGGTCCTGTTGGTGCGGGGGAGCCTGGGGAACGTCCACCG